CAAGGAATTTTGTACCAAACTTGAAAGATCACCACATGGTCTCGAAGTGTTGTAACAGCTTTTGGTTATGTTGGACTCAATATTAGGATCATAACCGATTTCTATGTTTTGGGACTTTTTAAAATGTCCTTTTTCTTTGTGTATGACTCAATAATTGTCTTGGATAACCAGATCACCACTAAGAGGAACAACACTGCTGTTTTGACAGAATGGAATACTTCACTGCAGGCGAGACGTGAGGGATTTCAGACACATACTCAATGTAATTTTTTTTTAACAGCTGCTAGAATGGAGAAGGTGAGCTGTGTCCATGGGTTATTGTTCTCTTTATCTCTCTCCCTCTCTTTGTCTTTTCGCTGAGCTTTGACTATCAGTCTATTCATTTGGGAGAGGAGGACACAGGAGAAGGCACTGCTTCTTGTCAGTTTCAGTGGTCTCTGCCTGTTGCCATGGTGAGAAGAAGAGATAGTCCACGAGAAGTAGTTCCTTCTGAACTCAGTCGGGGCAAGAGGTTGGATGAATGGTGGGCCTTTTCTCTGGAGATGTAGTGTGAACGAGAGCTGTAATGCCTTGACTCCTCAGGCAATACAAGTTTTCATATTGATGATCGTCTGCCCACAATACTCTACCAACGACCCTTCATAGTTGCTGAATTATTCTCAGTGTTCCTGAATTGTTCTCAGTGGCAGTGCATGTGCACATCAGATCTAAATTGAGGCTCTCATGTGGACTTTTGAAGTATGTTCTGAACTTTTCTTTCCTCGGGCAGCTCTGTGCTATTTTTATAATAAACACCCACTCATGCACCAGTGGCTATTCAATGGCCTGTACACTGAGTGTACAAAACAAAATGAACATCTGTTCTTTCCATGACATAGACTGACCAGGTTAATCCAGGTAAAAGCTATGATCCCTTATTGATGTCACTTGTTAAATCCTCTTCCATCAGTGTAGATGAAGGTGAGGAGACAGGTTAAAGAAGGATTTCTAAGCCTTGAGACATGTATTGTGTATGTGTGCCATTCAGAGGGTGAATGGGCAAGACAAAATATTTACGTTTTTTGAATGGGGTATGGTAGTAGGTGTCAGGCGCACTGGTTTGAGTGTGTCAAGAACTGCAACGCTGCTGGGTTTTTCACGCTCAACAGTTTTCTGTGTGTATCAAGAATGGTCCACCACCCAAAGGACATCCAGGCAACTTGACACAACTGTGGGAAGCATTGGCGTCAACATGGGCCAGCATCCCTGTGGAACGCTTTTGACACCTTGTATAGTCAATGCCCCGACAAATTGAGACTGTTCTAAGGGCAAAAGGGGCTACAACTCAATATTAGGAGGGTGTTCTTAATGTTTTGTACACTCAGTGTATATTGTCAATTAACTACCCTGTTTCCATAACTACAATTCCAACTACAACCCCAAATGAATGGGAAAGATAAGCACCATATAATTTCAAGATCTTATTTGGTGCTTATCCTTTCCATTCATTTGGGGTTGAGGTATTTAGATGGATCAACACAATTGATGGCGTGAGACGTGGATTTGTCTTGACGTTTGACTACTTTTGAGATTTAAAAAACATCTGACAAACTTTGATTTTGGAGTGTAATATCCTATTAATGCTTTTGTTCCCAAGAGTTGTGTACTGTACTGGTGAAGCTAACTGTACTCCACTGTACTGTACTGGTGAAGCTAACTGTACTCTACTCGTGAAGCTAACTGTACTTGACTGTACTGGTGAAGCTAACTGTACTGTACTGGAGAAGCTAACTGTACTGTACTGGAGAAGCTAACTGTACTGGAGAAGCTAACTGTACTGTACTGGTGAAGCTAACTGTACTGTACTGGTGAAGCTAACTGTGCTGCACTTTACTGTAATGGTGAAGCTAACTGTGCGGTACTTTACTACAATGGTGAAGCTAACTGTACTGTACTGGTGAAGCTAACTGTACTGTAATGGTGAAGCTAACTGTACTGTACTGGTGAAGCTAACTGTACTGTACTGGTGAAGCTAACTGTGCTGCACTTTACTGTAATGGTGAAGCTAACTGTGCGGTACTTTACTACAATGGTGAAGCTAACTGTACTGTACTGGTGAAGCTAACTGTACTGTAATGGTGAAGCTAACTGTACTGTAACGGTGAAGCTAACTGTACTGTAATGGTGAAGCTAACTGTACTGTAATGGTGAAGCTAACTGTGCTGTACTTTACTGTACTGGTGAAGCTAACTGTACTGGTGAAGCTAACTGTAATGGTGAGGCTAACTGTACTGTACTGTAATGGTGAAGCTAACTGTGCTGTACTTTACTACAATGGTGAAAATAACTTTACTGTACTGGTGAAGATAACTGTACTGAACTGGTGAAGCTAACTGTACTGTACTGTAATGGTGAAGCTAACTGTACTGTAATGGTGAAGCTAACTGTACTGTACCGGTGAAGCTAACTGTACTGTAATGGTGAAGCTAACTGTACTGTTGAGCTACTGTGGTGTACTACTGTACTGGTGAAGCTAACTGTACTGGTGAAGCTAACTGTACTGTACTGGTGAAGCTAACTGTCTTACTGTAATGGTGAAGCTAACTGTCTGTACTTACTGTACTGGTGAAGCTAACTGTACTGTGAGCTACTGTACTGTAATGGTGAAGCTAACTGTGTACTGTACTGTAATGGTGAAGCTAACTGTACTGTACTGTAATGGTGACGCTAACTGTGCTGTACTTTACTGTACTGGTGAAGCTAACTGTACTGTACTGGTGAGGCTAACTGTACTGTACTGTGAGGCTAACTGTACTGTACTGTAATGGTGAAGCTAACTGTACTGTAATAGTGAAGCTAACTGTGGTGTACTTTACTGTACTGGTGAAGCTAACTGTACTGGTGAAGCTAACTGTACTGTACTGGTGAGGCTAACTGTACTGTACTGTAATGGTGAAGCCAACAGTGCTGTACCTTACTGTAATGGTGAAGCTAACAGTGCTGTACCTTACTGTAATGGTGAAGCTAACGGTGTTGTCTTTACTTCAATGGTGATGCTAACTGTACTGTACTGGTGAAGCTAACCGTACTGTACTGTAATGGTGCAGCTAACTGTACTGTACCGGTGAAGCTAACGGTACTGTAATGGTGAAGCTAACTGTACTGTAATTGTGAAGCTATACATACTGTAATGGTGAAGCTATAACTGTAATGGTGAAGATAACTGTACTAATAATTGATTGTATTCTATAGTTATTTTCTACCAACTGAGGTACTCAAAGCGCTTTACATAGTAAGGGGGAAACTCAACTCATCAATGCACAGCAACCAGTTTTGTGCCAGAACGCTCACCAAACATCAGCTAGAGAGGTAAGGAGTGATATATACCAATTAGGAATGAGGGGCATGATTAAGTGGCCATGATGGAATGGGGCATGGTTGGGGAATTTAGCCTTGACACCAGGGTTAACACCCCTACTCTTACGATAAGAACCATGTGATTCTAAATGACCACAGAGAGTCAGGACACCCGTTGAATATCGCATCCTAAAGACGGCACCATACGCATGGCAATGGCCCATTCACAGCCCTGGGGCATTGGGATCTCCTTAGACCAGATCCCCCTACTGGCCCTCCAACACCACTTCCAGCAGCATCTGGTCTCCCATCCAGGGACTGTAATGGTGAAGCTAACTGGTCTGTACTGTAATTATGAAGCTATTGGGTTTCTACTGTACTATACAGGTGAAGCTATCAGGTCTCTACTGTACTATACTGGTGAAGCTATCAGGTCTCTACTGTACTATACAGGTGAAGCTATCAGGTTTCTACTGTACTAAACAGGTGAAGCTATCGGATTTCTACTGTACTAAACAGGTGAAGCTATCGGGTTTCTACTGTACTATACTGGTGAAGCTATCAGGTCTCTACTGTACTATACAGGTGAAGCTATCAGGTCTACTGTACTATACAGGTGAAGCTATCAGGTTTCTACTGTACTATACTGGTGAAGCTATCAGGTCTCTACTGTACTATACTGGTGAAGCTATCAGGTCTCTACTGTACTAAACTGGTGAAGCTATCAGGTTTCTACTGTACTATACTGGTGAAGCTATCAGGTCTCTACTGTACTATACTGGTGAAGCTATCAGGTTTCTACTGTACTATACTGGTGAAGCTATCAGGTTTCTACTGTACTATACAGGTGAAGCTATCAGGTTTGTACTGTACTATACTGGTGAAGCTATCAGGTTTCTACTGTACTATACAGGTGAAGCTATCAGGTTTCTACTGTACTATACAGGTGAAGCTATCGGGTTTCTACTGTACTATACTGGTGAAGCTATCAGGTCTCTACTGTACTATACTGGTGAAAGGTTTCTACTGTACTATACAGGTGAAGCTATCAGGTTTCTACTGTACTATACTGGTGAAGCTATCAGGTTTCTACTGTACTATACTGGAGAAGCTATCAGGTTTCTACTGTACTATACTGGTGAAGCTATCAGGTTTCTACTGTACTATACTGGAGAAGCTATCAGGTCTCTACTGTGCTATACAGGTGAAGCTATCAGGTCTCTACTGTACTATACTGGTGAAAGGTTTCTACTGTACTATACAGGTGAAGCTATCAGGTTTCTACTGTACTATACTGGTGAAGCTATCAGGTTTCTACTGTACTATACTGGAGAAGCTATCAGGTTTCTACTGTACTATACTGGTGAAGCTATCAGGTTTCTACTGAACTATACAGGTGAAGCTATCGTGTTTCTACTGTACTATACTGGTGAAGCTTTCAGGTCTCTACTGTACTATACTGGTGAAGCTATCAGGTTTCTACTGAACTATACAGGTGAAGCTATCAGGTTTCTACTGAACTATACAGGTGAAGCTATCAGGTTTCTACTGAACTATACAGGTGAAGCTATCAGGTCTCTACTGTACTATACAGGTGAAGCTATCAAGTCTGAACTCATTCTCTCCTCCCTTTGTCTCTCTGTTTTTGCTCTCTCTCTCTCTAGTGTCTCCTGAGCTGCTAGGGGTCCTATCCTCAATTGCGGCCTTTGTGGCCGTGATGGTTCTCTTTTTTCTTTACCTCAGCAACAAGCTGTCAGTGGAGAGCGCCAGCGACCTGCCACGCCTCGACGACTATAGGCCCGACCAGCAAGGTAAACACGTCAAGTGGTACAACACTCAAAGTCTGTATGCAGTTTGTCTGTTGTTCTATGGTCCTGGGCTAGTTTCCTGGACCCAGATAAAGCCTAGCTCTGGGATGAAAAGCTCATTTATTTGTTCAGGTTTAGGCTTAATGTAGGTCTGGGGGATCGTCCCAAAATATACAAATAAATCAATTTCTGATTGTCTGACCAACAATTTAAAACTCTCACAATCACTGTTACGATAATGCTTGTGGATGAGAAGGTCATGAATAGACATTATCCCTAATCACAGATTGTCCTCCTCATACATGTATAAAGTGTCAGTCATGGATTTCAGACAGTAATACCTGGCCCACACACTCTCATGAACCAAATATCCCAGCCAGAGCCTGTGATGAGGTGATGAGATAATCTAGAATCCACCAGACAGTGTGGAGAAGGACAGCAGCTCCAGCCGTCAGCAAGTCCACCCAACATGGCGTTCTTCAAGAGCTTCGGGCAGAACCTACCATCTGTAAACATCTCCTCCATCTTGGATTCGGTCAGCAGCAAAGTGGACGACCTAGCCAGCGCCGTCAGTGATGCCACCTACAGCGTCAGTGACCAGCTGACCGAGCTCAGCGACCAGGTCATCAAGAAGGTGCAGACGGAGGAGGAGGCGGCTGCAGAACCGGCAGAGGGGGGCCAGGAGAACAAGGATGGGAAGGCCCAGGAAGGGATAGCAGACTCATTCAGGAGCAAAATCAAGCGGCAGGCATCAGAGGCCTGCTCAAGCTTGGCAGACTACAGCTCCAACCTCAGCCAATCCAATGACTCGAAGAATAACCAATCGAGTGACGTCACAGCAGAGGACTATGTTCCAGCCCAATTGGAATGGGTGTGGAAAGATGGAGGCTGGCGAGTGGTAAAACCAGGAGAGAGTTCTGCAGAGGGCAAGGAACAGGAAGAGAAAATGAAGGAGGAGGAGAAGACGAAGAAGGAGGAGAAGGAGAAGAGGAAGGCGGAGAAAGACAAGAAGAAGGAGGAGAGGCTGAAACAGGAGGAGAAGAAGAAGAATAGCCATCAGGAGACCATCGAGGAGGAGCCTGAAGATAAAGAAACCAGCTCATTACCGAAAGAAAACCACACTACTAGTCAGAACAAAGAGGAACAGAAAGAGGACAAATCCAATGGGGTCCACCAGCGTGACGACCATAGTGATCCACCACAATCTCTTTGCACTGAGGAAGAGTCGAGAGCATCCAAAAAGAAAAACAAGGGGAAAGCTGAAGAGGAGGAAGAGAATAAGATGAGCCCTGAGGGAGATGGAGAGACCGAACCTGCTATGTCTCCCTCTTCTGAGAAAAAGAAGAAAAAGAGTGACAAGAAGAAAGAGAAAGGGAAGAAACAGAGCAAGAAGGAGAATAAAGGGGATAAAGGTGAGAGGGTGTGCTGCTTCCCCCCTCTTCTACTCTTCATGGCTGTGACCTGTGACCTAACTGAAACCTAACTGTAACTCAGTGTTTAGGGTTCTAAACTTGAAAACTAATTACGTTTTAACAGTCATGGATGGATCAAAATACATCTGTCTGTGGCTGTCACGTTCACTTTTTCAGTTCTTTCTCCTCACGGCTTTACCTGTTTCTCTCAATGATTGTTGTAGATGTCACATTATGGATACAGGGAGAGAGTTTACCAGTTAGAAATATGATAATTATATTCTATGACGTTCAGCTAAGATAAAGTGTAGTAAATGCTTTTATCAGTTTGATATCTAATACGTCCTCTATCTGGAGACCATTAAATAGATAGAACAGGGAGATAGGGGCTTGCTCCGTAAAAAAAGAAATACTGTGACACATCCTCTATGATCAGGGCCCATATATCCACAAAGTGTCTCAGAATAGCAGTGCTGGTCTATGATCCCCAACCTGTCCATATAGTCTGATTCATTATGATGTAAAAGGCTCAACTGATCCTAGATCAGCACACCTACACTGAGACGCGTGTGAATACGGGCCCTGAGAGTGGAGTTGTGTCTTATGTTGGGCTGATTGTGATGAGGTACTATGATCTTGTGTGTGTGTATCTGTTTGCACCTGTCCAGACCAGAGCTGCTCAGAGCGTGGCTCTGAGGAGGACACTCAAGAGGACAGACCAGGGGGACACTCTGAACCCTCAGCCCAGCACAGAGCCTCAGTCTGGGACAACCGACCTAAACGCACCAGCGACCACAGCAGTGAGGCCTCTACCGGACAAGGTGAGAAACTCACAGATGTGACAACATACATAGAAAGGCACGCACACGCACACGCTCACACACACACACACACACACACACACACACACACACACACACACACAGGCATGCACGCTATGTCTGATTGGCAGAACACACATAAATCATTGAAACATTTCCCAAGAGACCTATCAAACATATCCATTACTGTCTTACACAGCCAACAGCATCCAGCGGATGGGACAAGGCTCTCCCCTCAACGAGCTCCAGCCACCCCCATATCAGGACGAGGATAGTCCGGTCCGAGTGTCTCGCTCGCGGTCGGGGGCGGGGGGTCTGGGGGAGTCGTCCCCAGACGGTAATGTTACACAGCGCTCCAGTGAGGCCAGCGTTGACCAGGACACTGAGAGTTACCTCAACAAGGGCTACGATGAGGACGTACCTAGTGACAGCACTGCCGTCCTGGGACCAGAGGTGAGCTAGGACAAAGACACTCATACGGCAGATGGTGAACTGTTAGCATGTCCCATAGGACAATGTGTCACGCTAGCCGGGCATGCTCAGTTGCATACCGGATATCTAGCAAATGCTAACAACATAAACCTATTGGCTAGTACTCTGTTTGGCTATGATAGGCCTACCATCGGTCTCTAACCCCTCCCTCACCCAGTGTCATGTCCTGCTCTAAGATCTCCCCTCACTGTGTGATGTCACAGATGAAGACTGACACTGACATATTTATGCATTAAAATCCATCTTATCATCCTCTCTCTCATCTTTCTCTCTCCCTCCCTCTCTTTCTCTAACCCCCTCTCCCCCGCCTCTCCCACAGGATGGTTCACCCTCCCGTCTCCCCTTCACCCAGTGCTGTGTCCTGCTCTAAGGGCCTATATCTACCCTCACTCTGTGATGTCACAGATGAGGACTGAATCCAACAGATTCATGAATTTCAATGCATCTTTTCCTCCCATCTATCGTCTTTCTCTCTTTCTCTCTATTTCTCCCCCTCCCCCCAGGATGGTTCCCCCTCCCATCTCCACGTGGGCTATGAGCCCGAGCCACTGGCCAAGTATGGCACGCTGGACGTGGCCTTCGAGTATGACTCGGGCGAGCAACGCCTTGCCGTCACTGTCACCGCAGCAACCGACATCCCCGCACTCAAACAGACAGGGAACATCGCGTGGCAGGTGGGGCATAAACAAACTAACACTTTACTGTTGTGCTCATCGGTCTTGCACTCACACTTAAACGTATTTCCTTACTAGCACTGATTTTGCAGATAGCGGTTATTTTGAAGAAAGTTTTACTTGCAATGATTGTGATATGTGGTCGTACCTACCTTAGTTGAATGCACTGACTATAAGTCACCCTGGATAAGAGCATCTGCTTCAGTAAAAATGATTTTGAATTGATACAAAAATGTATTATAACTCACTTATAATAATACATTATGAAGGCTCATTCATGCTTATAGCAAGTTATAAAGCATTATAACTATTATAAAAAATACTACATGCCATTTAGCAGACACTTTTATCCATATCGACTTACACATGCGTACATACACTTTCATATGGGTGGCCCCAGTGGGAATCAAACCCACAATCCTGGAGTTGCAAGTGCTATGATCTACCAACTGAGCCACACAGGAGTAGGGTTGCAAAATTACGAGAACTTTCAATAAATTCCCTGGTTTCCTGAAATCCCGGTTGGAGGAACCCTGGAATCAGGAGGGAATAAGGAGGAAATCCGGAATCCTTCAACCAGGAACCTGGAAAACCAGAGAATTTATTGAACGTTCCCGTAATTGTGCAAACCTACACAGGATACATGTATGCTTTAAGTAAAGTGTTACCTGTAAATATAAATGTAGGTGCACCTGGTGTTGCTGCCCACTAAGAAGCAACGGGCCAAGACGGGGGTGCAGAGGGGGCCGTGCCCCATGTTCACAGAGACCTTCCGCTTCACCAGGGTGGAGGAGGAGGCGCTGGCAGACCACGCCGTCAGGTTCCGCCTCTACAGCGTCAGGAGGATGAAGAAGGAGAAGGTGCTGGGAGAGAAGGTGTTCTACTTGACCAAACTCAACCTGCAGGGCAAGATGGCGCTGCCCGTTACACTGGAGCCTGGCACAGCACTAACGGTGAGTTGCTGGGGAGATGGGGTTGGAGGGTGGAGAGGGGCGTGTGTGTGGGAGGAGTCTGTTTGTGGAATGTCTCGCCAAAGAAGTCTGATTTGTATGAACGTAGATAAATGACCAGTAGAAGCTATCGTTTAAAATGCATGCACTATAATGGTACAGGATCTTGTAGACTGACCCTATAGACAAAGCATAGTCTCACACAATCCACGTCATTCAGTTGCATTGTACTGATTCCTACCAAGGCCTCTCTCAAACCAAGGCCTCTCTCTAACTCTGTATGTGGTGTTAGCTGTCCTCTCCGGTCTCCCTACAGGGCTGTGGGTCGTTGCTGAGTGTGTCTCGCAGCGTGGCGGCTTTGTCCTACCGCTCTACTTGGGACTCCACACCAGAGATCCTACTGGGCCTCATCTATAACTCCACCACTGGCAGGCTCTCTGCAGAGGTCATCCAGGGAAGACAGTTCAAGAACACAGCCTCAGACAAACCTCCCAGTGAGTGGACAATCACATATGGATGAGCTCTCTTCCGTTGTATCTGTGATAATGTTATGTAGAAGTAGTAGGGTAGCTATAGCATACCTGGGTTGAAATAGTACTGCATTGGTTCCATTGTGCCAGGCAAGCTCAATCAAGCGCAGCTTAAGTATTCGAAAGAAAACAAATGCTATTTGAACCCAGGTCTGTACCGGTACATGAGACAGACATGGGGTCATCTTAATGCATGGGGGGCATTGCTCTCTTCTGTTATAAGGCATTGTTGATCATGTTATTGAGTAGGGTAGCTATAGCATTAAAATACGTAGATTTGAATAACATTTTTTATTTATAATGGTGGAATAATCTCTCTATTCTTGCCTCTTATTTACTTTACTTTCAGTCTTTTATCCTCTCTAAACTGTCTTCTCTCTTTCCTTCCCTCGCTTTTCCTCTTCCCTTTCCTCCTTCCCTCCTGGCCCTCTGTGTGTTGTGTCCTCTTCCCTTCCTCCTGGCCCTCTGTGTGTTGTGTCCTCTTCCCTTTCCTCCTGTCCCTCTGTGTGTTGTGTCCTCTTCCCTTTCCTCCTGGCCCTCTGTGTGTTGTGTCCTCTTCCCTTTCCTCCTGGCCCTCTGTGTGTTGTGTCCTCTTCCCTTTCCTCCTGGCCCTCTGTGTGTTGTGTCCTCTTCCCTTTCCTCCTGGCCCTCTGTGTGTTTGTGTCCTCTTCCCTTTCCTCCTGGCCCTCTGTGTGTTGTGTCCTCTTCCCTTTCCTCCTGGCCCTCTGTGTGTTGTGTCCTCTTCCCTTTCCTCCTGGCCCTCTGTGTGTTGTGTCCTCTTCCCTTTCCTCCTGTCCCTCTGTGTGTTGTGTCCTCTTCCCTTTCCCTCCTGGCCCTCTGTGTGTTGGTGTCCTCTTCCCTTTCCTCCTGGCCCTCTGTGTGTTGTGTCCTCCTTTCCCTTTGCCTCCGGGCCCTCTGTTTGTTGTGTCCCCTTCCTCCTGGCCTCTGTGTTGTGTCCTCTTCTACTGTTCCTCCTTCCTCCTGGCCCCTCTGTTGTTTGTGCCTCGTTCCCTTCTCTCTGGCCCTTGTGTTGTTCCTCTTCCACCTTTCCTCCTGGCCCTCTGTTGTTTGTGTCCTCTTTCCCTTGCCTCCACTGTCCCTCTTGTTTGTCCTCCTCCCTTGTCCCGGCCCTATGTGAGTGCTGTCCTGCTCCCATGTCCTGGCACTCTGTGGTGTGCCTCTCCACCCACCCTGGCCCTACTGGTGGGTCCTTTCCTTTCCGTCGGGCACTTGGGTAGTGAGCAAGGACTCTGCAGAGGACCTGGAGATTGTGCACAGCTCACCCCCCCATCTCTGTGTTTGGTGCCCTCTTCCAGCTTCCCGGCCCCTTGTGTGTGCGGGTGATAAACAGCAAGGAGGACAACTATGAGGTCATGAGAGGTGGAGCCTGCATGTCTGTACATGACCAGAGTCGTGCGCTCCTGCTCTGATAATGTTGGCATGTCGTGAAAGGGAACCGAAAAATTACTGGGATCGAAAATGACACTATTGTGGTTCAAGACACTCAATCCACAGGCTATTCTTCACTGTTATGTTCATTAATCTTCAGTAGATGGCAGCATCTCACCATGTTCCCCCTTCTCTCCCTCCCTCCCTTTGTCCACAGACACCTATGTGAAGCTGAACATGCTGGACTCCAAGGGCAAGGAGATGTCCAAGTGCAAGACGTCGGTGTGCCGCGGCCAGCCCAACCCCACCTACAAGGAGACCTTTGTCTTTCAGGTGAGAGAGAGAGAGAGAGAGACAGAGAGAGAGAGAGACAGAGAGAGAGACAGAGAGAGAGACAGACAGACAGAAACAACCCACCCCATCTCTGTTGTCTTCCAGGTGGCCCTCTTCCAGCTGTCCGAGGTCTCCCTTGTGGTGTCGGTGTACAGCCGGAGGAGCAGCATGAAGGCCAGGGAGAGGGTGGGCTGGCTGTCCCTGGGGCTCAACAGCACCGGAGAGGAGCAGCAGGCCCACTGGAGCCAGATGAAGGAGGCCGAGGGACAGCAGGTGTGCCACTGGCACACACTCTTGGAATCTTGAACAGGTCTTGATGAGAATCACCAGATTTGATCTCGTTAACTAAGAATAAGCTGTATAAATAAAGGTGAAATTAAATGGTTAAATAGGAGGAGGAATACGTTGGAGGAATAGGATGAGGAAGATTATGGGGTATGTTGACCTCAGTGTTGCGAGGGAATGTGTTCCATGACCTTCATTCAGAGATGCAGATGAGGAGCTATGAGGAACCATCCGCCTATACTGTGCTTATCACCTGGTGTGGAATGTGTGTGTGTGAGGGTGCAGAGCTTTGAGAAGCACGTGGATTCCACTTGGAGTCTCCCGTTCACTGACAGCTGCTTTAATACTCTTCAATCCATAAACCAGCCACCTACCCTGAGACAGACTGGTCTGGTTGACAGACTGACTGGTGCTCCCAGCTCCAGTCATTGTCGATGGGGGCATCAAAGTCAGACTCATCTTTGTAATACAACAGCTGATAAGACCTCAATGGTGAAATGGACACAACTGGTCATGAAATGGACCATTCAGTCTCAGATTGAGGACAATTTTGTGTCATTCATTTCCCATATTCAAAATACGACCATACATATCTCGTACAATGGACCATTTTCATCCTGAACCGAGGACCAAAGAGTGCGGAGAAGAACAACACTACAACAAACCAGCCCCCTCATGTTCTTCCGGGGTTGTACTGACCATAGATATAGAAAGACTAGAAGGGACTAAGCCCCTCAGACCATGGCAATTTGATTGGAACACTCATGGGTTCACTCAATATGGCTGACATTTCTATGGTACTGTCTTCAAATGACACCAGCATATCAGACATTTCTCATCTGACGCTCGCAGCCATCGAAAACAAGTATGATGCAATGGAAGACTGTTACCATGACTGTTAGAGCCAGCTGGGCCTGTAACATTCTGCAACAACTGCCTATAGAAAGTCTACAACGCCCTTGGAAGTAGGAAAACATTTGATTTTATTATAATTTTTTGGTCAACCATCTACACAAAATACTCTGTAATGTCAAAATGTAAGAAAATATATTTATTAAGATTAATGAAGAAAAAAAACACATACCTTGATTAGATAAGTATTCACCCCATGAGTCAATACATGTTAGAAACACCTTTGGCAGCAATTACATCTGTGAGTCTTCTTGGGGAAGTCTCTAAGAGCTTTGCACATCTGGATTGTGCAATATTTTCCCATTATTCTTTTTAAAATTCTTCAAGCTCTGTCAAGGTGTTGGGGATTATGACTGGACAGCAAATGTCAAGTCTTGCCATAGATTTTCAAGCAGATTTAAGTCAAAACTGTAACTTGGCCACTCAGGAACATTCACCGTCTTCTTGGGAAGCAACTCCAGTGTAGATTTGGCTTTGTGTTGTAGGTTATTGTCCTGCTGAAAGGTGAATTCCTCTCCCAGTGTCTGGTGTAAAGCAGACTGAAGCGTCCCATTTATTTTCATCCTGACAAACTCGTCTTTTCCAATGTCAAACATACCCATACCATGATGCAGCCACCACCATGCTTGAAAATAAGGACGCAGTTACTCAGTGATGTGTTGTGTTGGATTTGCCCCAAACAGAAGACTTTGCATTTAGGCCAAAACGTGTATTACTTTGCCGTGTTTGTTGTTGCAGTATTACTTTAGCGCCTAGGATGCATGTTTTGTTTTTCCACTGTCCTTTCAGTCATTATTGTGGAGTCACTACAATGTTGTTGATCCAGCCTTAGTTTTCTCCCATCACAGCCATTGAACTCTGTAGCTGTTTTAAAATGACCAATGGCCTCATGTTGACATCACTAAGCAGTTTCCTTCCTGTCCTGCAGCTCAGTTCAGAAGGACGAATGTATGTATCTTTGATATGTCTGGGTGGTTTAATACATCATCCACAGCATCATTATTAAATTGACCATGCTTAAAGAGATATTCAATGTCTAATTTGTTATTGTTACCCATCTACCAATCATTGCCCTTCTTTATAAGGCTTTGGAAAAGTTCCTGGTCCTTGTAGTTGAATCTGTGCTTGAAATTCAATACTTGACTAAGGGACCTTCCAAATGTTGTACTGTATGTATTGGGGACAGAGGAATTGGTAGTCATTAAAAAATTATGTCAACCCCTATTATCTATATAACTTATTATGTGATTTGTTAAGCCACATTTTACTTCTGAACTAATTTAAGCTTGCTTAAAACAAAGGGGGTGAATACCTATGCAATAACTATATTTTAGTTATTTAATTTGTATTCATTTGTACAAATTTGTAGAATCTTCTTTTCACTTTGACATTATGGAGTATTTTGTGTAGATCAGGTGACCAAAAAAAATCACAAATATTTTTCAATCCTACTTTCTAACGGAACAAAATGTGAAAAAAAGGGGGTTTAGACTTTCTATAGGCACTGTATGCTAACGAGCTATGCTTATTTAGTCACTTTGTTGTTTACATTCTCGTGACATTATACAATATCCTATTTTGAATTATTTTAGGGGTTTCTTTTTACGACTGTTTCATCTCCCGATGCATTGTTTGTTCACCGTCTTTTTTTGTGGTCATCTGAATCATCATTTGAGAATAGAAAAACAATATTATCTTTGTTGTGGCTCACTGGGTGGTCTTTTAAACATTGTTACAGAATCAAGCACAACACTGTAGCCCAGTGGTCAACAACATTTTCTGAGTCAAGATCACTTTCTGAGTCAAAATCACTTTGAGTCAAAATCACTTTCTGAGTCAAGATCACTTTCTGAGTCAAGATCACTTTCTGAGTCAAGATCACTTTCTGAGTCAAGATCACTTTCTGAGTCAAGATCACTTTCTGAGTCAAAATGCAAGCCAAGATCTACCGCTCAGATTTCTTTTTACATGACTTAAAAAACTTAAGCCTATGCAACATTAACCAATTAAAAACAGTTCTGTAGCAATGAGATTTGTGCAGTAGGCTATAGGCCCCAATACATTATCACTGCATTGGCTATGCTTGAATTGCCCTGCCAATGTTGTTCTTCTCAGGTCATTTTGAAATTATATTTAAAACATTTAGGTATATGATCATACTGGTAATAGATAATTTGTTGTATTACTTGTGAGGCACAGATACAGTGGGGGAAAAAAGTATTTAGTCAGCCACCAAGTGGGCAAGTTCTCCCACTTAAAAAGATGAGAGGCCTGTAATTTTCATCATAGGTACACGTCAACTATGACAGACAAAATGAGAAAAAAAATTCCAGAAAATCACATTGTAGGATTTTTTATGAATTTATTTGCAAATTATGGTGGAAAATAAGTATTTGGTCAATAACAAAAGTTTCTCAATACTTTGTTATATACCCTTTGTTGGCAATGACACAGGTCAAAAGTTTTCTGTAAGTCTTCACAAGGTTTTCACACACTGTTGCTGGTATTTTGGCCCATTCCTCCATGCAGATCTCCTCTAGAGCAGTGATGTTTTGGGGCTGTCGCTGGGCAACACGGACTTTCAACTCCCTCCAAAGATTTTCTATGGGGTTGAGATCTGGAGACTGGCTAGGCCACTCCAGGACCTTGAAATGCTTCTTACGAAGCCACTCCTTCGTTGCCCGGGCGGTGTGTTTGGGATCATTGTCATGCTGAAAGACCCAGCCACGTTTCATCTTCAATGCCCTTGCTGATGGAAGGAGGTTTTCACTCAAAATCTCACGATACATGGCCCCATTCATTCTTTCCTTTACACGGATCAGTCGTCCTGGTCCCTTTGCAGAAAAAAAGCCCCAAAGCATGATGTTTCCACCCCCATGCTTCACAGTAGGTATGGTGTTCTTTGGATGCAACTCAGCATTCTTTGTCCTCCAAACACGACAAGTTATATTTTGGTTTCATCTGACCATATGACATTCTCCCAAACCTCTTCTGGATCATCCAAATGCACTCTAGCAAACTTCATACGGGCCTGGACATGTACTGGTTTAAGCAGGGGGACACGTCTTGCACTGCAGGATTTGAGTCCCTGGCGGCGTAGTGTGTTAGTGATGGTAGGCTTTGTTACTTTGGTCCCAGCTCTCTGCAGGTCATTCACTAGGTCCCCCCGTGTGGTTCTGGGATTTTTGCTCACCGTTCTTGTGATCATTTTGACCCCACGGGGTGAGATCTTGCGTGGAGCCCCAGATCGAGGGAGATTATCAGTGGTCTTGTATGTCTTCCATTTCCTAATAATTGCTCCCACAGTTGATTTCTTCAAACCAAGCTGCTTACCTATTGCAGATTCAGTCTTCCCAGCCTGGTGCAGGTCTACAATTTTGTTTCTGGTGTCCTTCGACAGCTCTTTGGTCTTGGCCATAGTGGAGTTTGGAGTGTGACTGTTTGAGGTTGTGGACAGGTGTCTTTTATACTGATAACAAGTTCAAACAGGTGCCATTAATACAGGTAACGAGTGGAGGACAGAGGAGCCTCTTAAAGAAGAAGTTACAGGTCTGTGAGAGCCAGAAATCTTGCTTGTTTGTAGGTGACCAAATACTTATTTTCCACCATAATTTGCAAATAAATTCATTAAAAATCCTACAATGTGATTTTCTGGAGAAAAAAATGCTCAATTTGTCTGTCATAGTTGACGTGTACCTATGATGAAAATTACAGGCCTCTCTCATCTTTTTAAGTGGGAGAACTTGCACAATTGGTGGCTGATTAAATACTTTTTTCCCCCACTTTAAGTTATTATTATTTTATTTTTTTACTGGATTGATGGCTTGCATCGGATGGTCAATCTGAGGGGAGCAAGGGAGCAACGGTAAGGCTGCCTCACCCGACTCACGGTCCCTTCGCCCTCCTTCCCCCCGACTCACGGTCCCTTCGCCCTCCTTCCCTCCGACTCACGGTCCCTTCGCCCTCCTTCCCCCCGACTCACGGTCCCTTCGCCCTCCTTCCCCCCGACTCACGGTCCCTTCGCCCTCCTTCCCTCCGACTCACGGTCCCTTCGCCCTCCTTCCCCCCGACTCACGGTCCCTTCGCCCTCCTTCCCTCCGACTCACGGTCCCTTCGCCCTCCTTCCCCCCGACTCACGGTCCCTTCGCCCGCCTTCCCTCCGTTGAGAAAAGGGGACAGTCTTCCAGCTGATGGCGAAACTCAAATTGCACTGCATTATTTCTGCCTCATGCACAAATTAATGTTGTTACTCCTGTGACCAGAGAAAGTGAAATATTCCTCGATATTAAAAAAGACAAGCTGCTAATAATATAAACGCAAGCTTATCGGAACACTTTGCTATACTGATTCATTGCAGCTGCAGTGCTGGTGGCTTATAAAGTTTATATGGCTTATAAAGTTGTTGAAGTGTTGACAGTGTTGAATAACAACTTCAACATGAACTTACACATAAAAACAGCAGCTCTTTGCTGTATTCAATGGGTCACTAGTTATGGTTTTAAAAGTTTTGAAATCTCACAGTATCAACTTTGATGTGCGTTCGAGTCTTCTTTTTACAGTCTATGGCTCGAAAAAACTGCAGACACGGTGGTCTGAGCTATCTGTTTGGCCAGCGGTATGCCTATAGGTGCACATTGACTCTGTGCCGGTGGCCCCTATATATAGCCTCGCTATTGTTATTTTACTATTGTTATTTTACTGCTGCTCTTTAATTATTATTATTATTATTATTATTATTATATATTTTTAGGGTATTCTTTCTTAAAAATGTTGTGGGTTAAGGGCTTGTCAGTAAGCATTTCACTGTAAGGCATGTGACAAATAAAATTGTATTTTATTTGCTCTCTGGGTCTACCGGGTAGGCGGAGTTCTATCATCAGACGAATTACATTTTTCAAAATGGGAACACTGTGCCTTCCCGGCGCTAGGGCTTCTGAATCAAGTGCACCTACCGCCAACAGCGTGAAACGCATAAAATAGGAACGCAAGGCTTTATCATCGTTGTTTTTTTACAGAGATGTTTGGTGATCGACTAGGAATGCCTTAGAGATCGACCAGTTGTATTACAAATTAGAGCTACTGTGTCACCAAGCGTGTTTGTCATGACATCTCCACACCATGTTCTTCCATGGAAATATAATCTAGTAATTCTATTTCTATGTAGAGGATCACTGGTGAGGAATAGGCCTACTGTATGACAAGCAGCATTCCACACAGTAGTATCATGACACGTGTCCTGCTGACTCTGAAGCAGGACTGGACACACATTTCACTGTGAAACATGTTGGATGGCAGAGGTGAACACTAGGAGTAGCACCCCTGCTTTACTGTAACAAGAACCTCCTCACTCCGCTCTCTCGCTTTCCTCTCACTCCTGGCTGGAGCAGAGGGGTGTGGGGGTGTATTCTCTCCTGGCTGGAGCAGAGGGGTGTGGGGGTGTATTCTCTCCTGTCTGGAGCAGAGGGGTGTGGGGGTGTATTCTGTCCAGGCTGGAGCAGAGGGGTGTGGGGGTGTATTCTCTCCTGGCTGGAGCAGAGGGGTGTGGGGGTGTATTCTCTCCTGGCTGGAGCAGAGGGGTGTGGGGGTGTATTCTCTCCTGGCTGGAGCAGAGGGGTGTGGGGGTGTATTCTCTCCTGGCTGGAGCAGAGGGGTGTATTCTCTCCTGGCTGGAGCAGAGGGGTGTGGGGGTGTATTCTCTCCTGGCTGGAGCAGAGGGGTGTGGGGGTGTATTCTCTCCTGGCTGGAGCAGAGGGGTGTGGGGGTGTATTCTCTCCTCTCTCCTACTCTCCCTGGCTCAGTGTTTAGTTCAGGCATGTTGCCCAACGCCCCACACTCCACTCCCATTGGGTCAGGGGTCCTGCAGCGTGCAGCCACACCTCACAACACAAAGTCCTGTGGAATGGAGTCACGTGGGAGAATCTCAAATCGCATACTCCTCGCATCGGCTCTCCTCGCCTCCTCAAAACCCATTGGATGAGAAAGCCAGAGCTCCCTCCCCTGTGACCTTCTCCTCCAATGGGTTTTGAGGAGGCGAGGAGTATGCAATTGAGATTCTCCCATGGTCTATTTTCTCATAACTGGAGGGATGAATAGCTTAGAAGGAATGCATTGGTGATTAAACATAGAAGGTTTGTACTGTACTGATATAAATTGTTTCACATAACAAGCTGTGATTCATGTGAGGAACGTTAGGAGGTAGGATGAGATAAGAACTTGTGTCTCAAAATACTAGACTACACTGCCTCTATTGTGATCTGTGAACCGTCCAAGGACGTGTACTGCAAAAGTGCTGAGTTTCTGGATAAGTTGCAAAACAACTAGATGCCTGGCAACAGTGGAGCGCCAAGGGTCTGGGACCAGCCTGTGCGCCAACGGATTGGCTGAGTAAGTCTAAACCACGCTCAGTCTCTACTCTGATTGGCCAGCAGGGAGCGGGAACTATCTCTGTCAGAGTATTTTAAGAAGAACTCATAACAACGGCTTAGTTCTCTGTCTGCCCTGCGTGGTATTTCAGTGAGCCCGTATACGAACCATCATACTTATCATACATACATTTTGCATATAATAAATTTAGCTTGGATTAAATATCTCTTGATTTTCTCTTATTCCAATACCAGATTTGAATTACGCAATTTCTAACAGTGAGATCGGTGACACATTGCTCTAGTCTAGTTTGAGATTCAGTTCGCTGACTAAACTAAATCCCATACTCTATCTTGCAGTATCATCGACTAAGCTGAACAAGCTCATGAAGTGGCTAATAACGTGTGAGTTGAGAGAATGAAGCAATGCATGTCAGGAAATGTAGGCCTACTGTTCTATTTCTGCGGTAAAGAAGGAGACGGAGTTGGACGACAAAAGAACGACACAAGCCAACTTTGATTTTAATTCCATGTCTGGCCTTCAATGGTTTGTTTTACCCTGTCATCAGTGGTCAGTCTGGTACAGAACAGGGCTGGCAGCAGTAGTTGCAAGTGCTATTCCAGGGCCCTATTCATTAGGGAACACTAGCAAACAGCTTTAGTGTTGTTGTTTTTCAACAAAATGGAAACAAGCCTTTCTTATTGGACTAAATCCAGGTTGGGTGGGTGGGGGACAGTCCCAGGAGCACAGTTTCAGAACACTTAAACACCTAGCTAAAGGAATGAGTGGCAACTTTTTCCTGGTCCTCTTTCCTTGCTTGTTGCCACGGGAAAACCTCGTGCAACTGGCCCTGAAGAAAACTGAAAGGGGAGGGATGGAGGTGGGACTTCCAAAGCCCCGTGTGAGACGTCATCCGACCCGACCCCTCCCTCCCTGCCCCAGGAAATGTTAGGAGTCTGTCTGCCAGGTAATTATGCAGGCAACATCTGGAGCTCAAACTGAAGCTACTGGCATGTAGGAGTGCACCTTATTGCAAATCGATTGACCCAGAGTCAGTCATAAAACAGGTTTAGTTGAGTTTGAGCACATACCCAGACTGTTGTCGTCTCAAAGTCCTGATCTCAGATCAGTTTTGCTTTTCACCTGTGAAAGGTTCCGGGTTAAGATTGGCGCAGGCTAGAGCTGATCCCAGATCTGCGTTTTAGGGAGAGTTTTACGTAGAGCAGTCAATGCCACATAGAGCTACCGCTTTCAAGGAGCGGGACACTAATCCGGACACTTACAAGAAATCCCACTACGACCTCCAACGAGCCATCAACAAGGCAAAGCCTCAATACAGGACTAAAATCGAATCCTACTACACCGGCTCTGATGCTCGGATGTGGCAGAGCTTGCAAACGATCATGGATTACAAAGGGAAACACAGCCGCGAGCTGCCTAGTGATGCGAGCCTACCAGACGAGCGAAATGCCTTCTATGCTCGCTTCGAGGAAAGCAACACTGAACCATGCATGAGAGCACCAGCTGTTCCGGACGACTGTTTGATCTCGCTTGCATAGCCGATGTAAGACCTTTAAACAGATTAACATTCACAAGGCTGCGGGGGCAGATGGATTACCAGGACAAGTACACAGAGCATGCGCTGATCAGCTGGCAAGTGTCTTCACTGACATTTTCAACCTCTCCATGATCCAGTATATAATACCTGCATGTTTCAAGCAGACCACCATAGTCCCTGTGCCCAAGAATGCCAAGGAATCTCGTCGAAATCACTATAGCTCCGTAGCACTCGGCTGTAGTGGAGCGGGTTGAGAGCTTCAAGTTCCTCGGCATCCACATCACTAAGGAATTAACATGGTCCACACACACCAACACAGTCGTGATGGCACAACGCAAGGCGTACGTCCCAGTACATCACTGGGGCCGAACTCCCTGACATCCAGGACCTCAATACCAGGCGGTGTCAGAGGAAGGCCCTAAATCAGGGTTCTTCAATTCCGGTCCTGGAGGTCCGAAACACCTCTGTTTTTCATCCTCTCCTTCTAATCAGGGGCTAATTCAGACCTGGGACACCAGGTGAGTGCAATTAACTACCAGGTAGAAATAAAAAACAGAAGTGTTTCGGCCCTCCAGGACCGGAATTGAAGAACCCTGCCCTAAATATTGTCAAAGACTCCAGCCACCCAAGTCATAGACTGTTCACTCTGGTACTGCACGACAAGCGGTACTAATGCTCCAAGTCTGGAACCAACAGGACCCTGAACAGCTTCTACCCCCTAACCTTAAGACTGCTAAATAGTTAACCAAATAGCTACCCGGACTATCTGCACTGACCCCCATTTGCATAAACTATTTTTACTCATCACATACGCTGATGCTACTGCTTATTATCTGTCCTGTTGCCAAGTCACTTCACCCATACATATATGTACATACAGTGGGGGAAAAAAAGTAATTAGTCAGCCACCAATTGTGCAAGTTCTCCCACTTAAAAAGATGAGAGAGGCCTGTAATTTTCATCATAGGTACACGTCAACTATGACAGACAAAATGAGAATTTTTTTCTCCAGAAAATCACATTGTAGGATTTTTAATGAATTTATTTGCAAATTATGGTGGAAAATAAGTATTTGGTCAATAACAAAAGTTTCTCAATACTTTGTTATATACCCTTTGTTGGCAATGACACAGGTCAAACGTTTTCTGTAAGTCTTCACAAGGTTTTCACACACTGTTGCTGGTATTTTGGCCCATTCCTCCATGCAGATCTCCTCTAGAGCAGTGATGTTTTGGGGCTGTCGCTGGGCAACACAGACTTTCAACTCCCTCCAAAGATTTTCTATGGGGTTGAGATCTGGAGACTGGCTAGGCCACTCCAGGACCTTGAAATGCTTCTTACGAAGCCACTCCTTCGTTGCCCGGGCGGTGTGTTTGGGATCATTGTCATGCTGAAAGACCCAGCCACGTTTCATCTTCAATGCCCTTGCTGATGGAAGGAGGTTTTCACTCAAAATCTCACGATACATGGCCCCATTCATTCTTTCCTTTACACGGATCAGTCGTCCTGGTCCCTTTGCAGAAAAACAGCCCCAAATCATGATGTTTCCACCCCCATGCTTCACAGTAGGTATGGTGTTCTTTGGATGCAACTCAGCATTCTTTGTCCTCCAAACACGAGTTGAGTTTTTACCAAAAAGTTCTATTTTGGTTTCATCTGACCATATGACATTCTCCCAATCCTCTTCTGGATCATCCAAATGCACTCTAGCAAACTTCAGACGGGCCTGGACATGTACTGGCTTAAGCAGGGGGACACGTCTGCACTGCAGGATTTGAGTCCCTGGCGGCGTAGTATGTTACTGATGGTAGGCTTTGTTACTTTGGTCCCAGCTCTCTGCAGGTCATTCACTAGGTACCCCCGTGTGGTTCTGGGATTTTTGCTCACCATTCTTGTGATCATTTTGACCCCACGGGGTGAGATCTTGCGTGGAGCCCCAGATCGAGGGAGTTTATCAGTGGTCTTGTATGTCTTCCATTTCCTAATAATTGCTCCCACAGTTGATTTATTCAAACCAAGCTGCTTACCTATTGCAGATTCAGTCTTCCCAGCCTGGTGCAGGTCTACAATTTTGTTTCTGGTGTCCTTTGACAGCTCTTTGGTCTTGGCCATAGTGGAGTTTGGAGTGTGACTGTTTGAGGTTGTGGACAGGTGTCTTTTATACTGATAACAAGTTCAAACAGGTGCCATTAATACAGGTAACGAGTGGAGGACAGAGGAGCCTCTTAAAGAAGAAGTTACAGGTCTGTGAGAGCCAGAAATCTTGCTTGTTTGTAGGTGACCAAATACTTATTTTCCACCATAATTTGCAAATAAATTCATTAAAAATCCTACAATGTGATTTTCTGGATTTATTTTTCCTCAATTTGTCTGTCATAGTTAACGTGTACCTATGATTAAAATTACAGGCCTCTCTCATCTTTTTAAGTGGGAGAACTTGCACAATTTGTGGCTGACTAAATACTTTTTTTCCCCCACTGTATCTACCTCAATTACCTCATACCCCTGCACATCGACTCGGTACTGGTACCCTGTGTATATACAGTTGAAGTCGGAATTTACATACACTTAGGTTGGAGTCATTAAAACTTGTTTTTCAACCACTCCACAAATGTCTTGTTAACAAACTATAGTTTTGGCAAGTCAGTTAGGACATCTACTTTGTGCATGACACAAGTAATTTTTCCAACAATTGTTTACAGACAGATTATTTCACTTATAATTCACTGTATCACAATTCCAGTGGGTCAGAAGTTTACATACACTAAGTTGACTGTGCCTTTAAACAGCTTGGAAAATTCATATAAAATGATGTCAGCTTCTGATTGGCTAATTTACATCATTTGAGTCAATTGGAGGTGTACCTGTGGATGTATTTCAAGGCCTACCTTCAAACTCAGTGCCTCTTTGCTTGATATCATGGGAAAATCAAAAGAAATCAGGCCAAGACCTCAGAAAAACAATTGTAGACCTCCACAAGTCTGGTTCATCCTTGGGAGCAATTTCCAAATGCCTGAAAGTACCATGTTCATCTGTACAAACAATAGTACGCAAGTATAAACACCATGGGACCACACAGCAGTCATACCGCTCAGGAAGGAGACGTGTTCTGTCTCCTAGAGATTAACGTACATTGGTGCGAAAAGTGCAAATCAATCCCAGAACAACAGCAAAGGACCTTGTGAAGATGCTGAAGGAAACAGGTACAAAAGTATCTATATCCACAGTAAAACAAGTCCTATATCGACATAACCTGAAAGGCCGCTCAGCAAGGAAGAAGCCACTGCTCCAAAACCGCCATAAAAAATCCAGACTACGGTTTGCAACTGCACATGGGGACAAAGATCGTACTTTTTGGAGAAATGTCCTCTGGTCTGATGAAACAAAAATATAACTGTTTGGCCATAATGACCATCGTTATGTTTGGAGGAAAAAGGGGGTTGCTTGCAAGCCGAAGAACACCATCCCAACCGTGAAGCACGGGGGTGGCAGCATCATCCAAATGGACAATGACCCCAAGCATGCTTCCAAAGTTGTGGCAAAATGGCTTAAGGACAACAAAGTCAAGGTATTGGAGTGGCCATCACAAAGCCCTGACCTCAATCCTATTGAAAAAGTGTGTGCGAGCAAGGAGGCCTACAAACCTGACTCAGTTACACCAGCTCTGTCAGGAGGAATGGGCCAAAATTCACCCAACATATTATGGGAAGCTTGTGGAAGGCTACCCGAAACGTTTGACCCAAGTTAAACAATTTAAAGGCAATGCTACCAAATACTAATTGAGTGTATGTAAACTTCTAACCCATTGGGAATGTGATGAAATAAATAAAAGCTGAAAGAAATCATTCTCTCTACGTTTATTTTGACATTTCACATTCTTAAAATAAAGTGGTGATCCTAACTGACCTAAGACAGGGAATTCTTACTAGGATTAAATGTCAGGAATTGTGAAAAACTGAGTTGAAATGTATTTGGCTAAGGTGTATGTAAACTTCCGACTTATCATTGTTCTATTTTTCTCTCTGCATTGTTGGGAAGGGTAAGTAAGCATTTCACTGTCAGTCTACACCAGTTGTTTACCAAGCATGTGACAAATAACATTTGATGAGGCCCACTGATGCATAGTCAGTCAGGGGAGCAGGTTCCGTTGTCTGAGAGCTAATGACCAAGATCACATTCCATTTTATTGCAGTCATTTCTATTCACAAACCCTTTTCGAAGCAAGCCTTAGTAGATCCATGTAATATATTCAATTAAATAAATATACAGAAACTATGGGGCCGATAATGTTGAGTTCTATAAAAGCAGCCTCCCAGAGTAAGACCGATGATATTTTCTGATCAACAGTGTTGTCTCCTGAATCATCCCAAATAAAGGATATATTGTTACAGTTTAGATCATCCAGTCAAATCAATGGAATGAAGCCAGAAAAGGTCAAAGTATGTTAATTAATAAGGGCTGGTGCTGCCATTTTAATAGGTGAGGGACAACTTTTGGGGGGATGGGGGTGGAAGAGTACCGTCTAAAAGGGGGGGGGGGGGGGGGGGCAGACTGCATCCCTTTAATAAGCATTCACATTGTGCACTTTACAAAACATTGTGCTGTTTTTCAGCATATAACATCGTACCTATTTGGCAAAGAAAACATTCATCGAGCATCAAATCGTTACGAAATGAGGGAACGACATGGACACGCTGTACAGAGAAGCAGCTCCTTTTGAAGGTTTGTACTGAATGGAACTGTGACCTTTGACATGATTGGACCATGATGAGGGACAGAAACACCAAAACGTCTTCAGTGTCAAAATAAGCTTATTTTTTCACTTCCTTGTACAATTGCCCAATTCACATCATTTATCGAACGCTCCGGCGGGAAGTTTCCACTAGGTACAGATCTGGCATCAGCTTCCCCTCCCCAATCCTAACATTAACCATTAGCGGGAGAAGTTCAAAACGGACCCAAGATCAGCATCTAGGGGCAACGTCACCCTACTCCATAACTGAACACTTAATTAGGACTACTCAGTCATTTAACAATAACCATTGGTAGCCCAATACCACTAACATCCAAAAAGTCACAAAAAAGCCAAGGTCTGACTTTACGCCATTGTAGTCTGCTGTAGGCTTAACGAATGTGTTAGGTAAATGGCATTCCAATTAATACATTTTCCTATGAATATTTTAAATATTTTTCTGGTAAACTTGTAGAGCTTGTGGCATAATGGTCCTGTAGTCTCCATCTGTAGTCATTGAAAGGCAGAATGACAGGGTTAGCTCAGTTTAGGTCTGCCCATAGAAATATAATCTACTGTGAAATTGACATGGTCTGAGGGGCTTTGCCCGTTCTAGTGATTATATTTCTATGGGTATGCCAATGACGAGGTTCTGGTGACGACTAATCATCCCACTTCAAGATTTACACTATTAAACACCACATACATAAAAAAAAATGTTTTTACTTCTGCAACCATCAGTGCTTCTCTCACGGTTTCAATAACAAGAGTAGAGTAAATACATGTAAAATGAGTTTTTAAAAAAATGTGTAAAACAACAAAACAAAAGTATTTGTGCGATGACAAACGGTATACCTTTGCCCCTTTGTTTCTCTCCCAAAAGGTGAACTTCAGGAGCTCAGGGCTGGCCCACATGACCGTCCACTGTCTCTCCTTCTCTCCCTGTGTCATCTTAAAACCAGTCTGTTTACAATGCCAGTTTGAGTTTGGCTCGCAAGCTAAGTCAAGTTAAGTCGCTGTCCTTGGGTAGGCAGTGTTACCTGCAGGCCCATAAAAAATGGTGCAAAATGAAATCTGTAGTAGCTGCTGATGGAACACACATGAACGACATGAGGAAGAAAAAAGGGAGTTCAGCCTATTCACTGGAGAGGCTTCTTATTGTACATCCTAGATCCATTCCCCAAACCTCCCTCCATCTCAAAACCAGTCCTATCTTCCTCATTTCTTCCGTCCTGCCCGAGTTCCTCCCTCTCTCGCTCCGTTCTGCCCAACGCTCTTAGCTGGGCCTAGCCCTGGGCTAGATGAACTTGAAGCACTTAGTCTTGTCATGGGGTAGGCGCGTCTTGAAGAGCACAGAGTCCACGCGGAACTGCGTGTAGAGTAAGGGCATGTAGCCGTACACCTTGACAAAGAAGTTGATGCACTTGTGGCGCTCGTGGAAGTGCGAGTCGTCGTGCGACAGGGCCTGCGGGCAGCCGGGGCAGCGGAAGGTCCAACGAGACGTCACCTGAGATGGGGAGAGAGAGGGAATGTGTGTCTGTGTGTGTGAGACAAGGTGTGAGTCTGTATACATATCTAATTACAATGCTACAACCATTTTAATTGCTTTGTCGATACTGTGAACATGCGGTCGTAACATATGGTCGTACAGAGTATACCAAATATTAGGAACACCCTCCTAATATTGTGTTGCACATAAAGCTTATCCAGAATTGTGTGGGTAGCCTAGCAGTTAAGAGCGTTGGTTAGAATCCCCGAGTTGACTAGGTGAAAAATCTGTCAATGTGCCCTTGAGAGAGGCACTTCAAATCTAATTGAAAGTCGCTCTGGATAAGAGTGTCTGCAAAATGACAAATGTCAAATGTAATTGTCCGCGACACATAAAAGAGGGCATGAGGCTTACTGCATCTCTTAAGGCCGATTTTCCAGAAAAATTAAAGTCACTTAGTTACAGGAGTTTACTTCCACTACATGCACTATTCACCAGCCTTATTCCTACCAGGGAATTCCTGTCAAGACACACACTCCATCAAAGCAGGTCCTTAATTCCCAAACGAATTCTAAGAAACACCTCCGAATCAAGCCTCTGTATATCAAACGGGCTAAAACCGAGGGTCCCAACAACTTCCCCTGGCTTGGTTGGTATAATTACTCCGCTAGCCATAAATCTGTAAATACTAGTCATACATGTCTTGCAAATAGATTTAGAGGGAAACGCAAGCTTAGGGCAACAATTCAATCTCGCTGTATTCTGATTATAATTCACGACAGTATATTGAACATGTCAGGTTGAGTAATGGTCGGGCTAAGTGAGCAGAAATATAAATAGGCAGTGCCCGGGGTGTGTGTGTTTTTGAGAGTACCTGTGTGTGTTCCGTATGTGTTTGTTCAAAATGTGTACGTTCGGTGTGTGTGTGTGTGCGTGGCCCACTGACCTTGATAGGGGGCTTGCGCGTGATGTGCGACACCAGGAAGTTCATGGCGATGTCCTCACAGTTGATGTACTCATCCACCATGTCGCGGATGGCCTGGGGCATCACGTACGAGTACAGGTACGCATAGTACTGCAGCAGAGACACAACATGAAGCAGAGGATCAACCAGGGTCATGTTCATTAGGGCACACAACGTTTTGAAACATTGGATGAGTAATCCCTCCCTGTTTCAGTCCGTTTTCCTATGTTTGGTGCCTACCGAACACGGTCCAGGTGCATTGAGAAGAGGGGGTCAGAGAAAACGAAGTGAAGAGGAAGGTGATGTATCTTCTAGAAGACAGGCGAGTTGGCAGCAAACAGAGTTATGTGTAGCATAGAGGTCAGGGGTCACAGGGTTGAATGGTGTCATGACAGTGAGGGAAGGAGAGGGGGAGGGGCTGTACCTTGTGAAAGAAGGCGGCGCCCGTCAGTACCATCGACAGTTCACAGGAGTAGTTAGAGTTATAGAGCCACGACTGGTGGTTGACGTCCCAGGCATGGAACCTCCCAGGGAAGCCCACAATGCGGTCCCTGGCCTCCCTCCATACTCTGATAAACACGAGACAGAGAGAAACAAGAGTTACTAACCATACTATAAAACCCACAACCAGACTGAGAGGCAAGAGTTACTAACCATACTCTGATAGACAGTTATACAGTTTGATTCAATGATGGAAAGGAAAAGTCAGCATTATACAGGGCAGAATGAGTGGAGGAGAATTCCACCACAATGTGACCACAATATATATACACATATTGTATTGTACATGAAGGCCTATAATGAAAATAATTTAGCTGACAACAAGGAGAAGAGCTGTATAGAGGTATGTGTTGTGCATTCATTTCTCTCCCACACACTCCACCCGCCCTCATCTCTGAGGGGGTGTCCTCTCTGCATGCACACACCTCTTCTGGAGTTATCTACATTTCTACTTCTGGTAGTGTGAACACAGGAATTCTCCAAAAGCGCACACACATCAAGTATAAACTTCTATCAAACATCAGACCTTTTCCTTGGCGATCTAGCACATTCCCATTACATGCATGCTATATCAATCCACTGATATATACATGCATGCTATATCAGTGGAGCTGTTGTTCTAGGTGAGGAGAAACATTACAGGATAGTTCCAGGAGAGTTATAGGTGAGGAGAAACATTCCAGGAGAGTTCTAGGTGAGGAGAAACATTCCAGGATAGGTGCAAGGGAGTTCTAGGTGAGGAGAAATATTCCAGGATAGGTGCAAGGGAGTTCTAGGTGAGAATAAACATGACAGGATTGTTCCAGGGGAGTTCTAGGTTAGGTGAAACATTCCAGGATAGTTCCAGGAGAGTTCTAGGAGAGGAGAAACATTCCAGGATAGTTCCAGGAGAGTTCTAGGTGAGGAGAAACATTCCAGGATAGTTCCAGGAGAGTTCTAGGTGAGGAGAAACATTCCAGGATAGTTCCAGGAGAGTTCTAGGTGAGGAGAAACATTCCAGGAGAGGAGAAACACTCCAGGATAGTTCAGGATAATTCATGACAAATGACACCATTCATACAGTGCAGCATTCTGCCTGCCCGTACATGCTGCAGTGGCTAACCTTTAGATGATACACAGAGTGCTGTACACAGAATCACAAACCACCACTTAGGCTTTAAACTGTCATTAAAGCTACAGTCTGGGATTTAAAGCTCTTCGATGGTCAATTAAATTATTGATATTTACCCATTTATTCTTGAAGAATGTAACTTATAAATGCCTCATGGACTTAGCATAACAGTCTGTCTTTACCATAACCCAAAATATAGGCTAATGTTTTATTTCTCCATTGTTTACAAACAGCAAGAATGTAAACAATGTATAGCTTCAAAATATGGTTAAGATTTTGTAAAAATATGTTCAGTCATTGCATCTAGAGAGCCGTCTATGGATTTGAGAGGGGCTACATTTCCCTAGCTCGGCCATTTTGTTATTTATTTTTATCCCAGAATATAGCTTTACATATGGCACTTACAGTGCATTCAGAAAGTATTTAGACAACTTGACCTTTTCCACATTTTGTTACGTTACAGCCTTATTCTAAAATTGTTTAAATTAATTGGTTTTACTCATCTACACACAATACCCCATAATGACAAAGCGAAAACAGGTTTTTAGAACATTTTACAAATGTATTAAAAATAAACAGAAATACCTTATTTACATAAGCATTCAGACTCTTTGCTATGAGACTCAAAATTGAGCTCAGGTGCATCCTGTTTCCATTGATCATCCTTGAGATGTTTCTACAACTTGATTGGAATCCACCTGTGGTAAATTCAATTGATTGGACATGATTTGGAAAGGCACACACGTCTATATAAAGGTCCCATAGTTGACAGTGCATGTCAGAGCAAAAAACAAGCCATGAGGTTGAAGGAACTGTCTGTAGAGCTCAGAGACAGGATTGTGTCGAGGCACAGATCTGGGGAAGCGTACCAAAAAAATTCTGCAGCATTGAAGGTCCACAAGAACACAGTGGCCTCCATCATTCTTAAATAGAAGAAGTTTGGAACCACCAAGACTCTTCCTAGAGCTGGCCGCCCGGCCAAACTTCGCAATCGGGGGAGAAGGGCCTTGGTCACGGAGCGAAGAACCCAATGGTCACTGACAGAGCTCCAGAGTTCCTCTGTGGAGATGAGAGAAACTTCCAGAAGGACAACCATCTCTGTAGCAATCCACCAATCAGGCCTTTATGGTAGAGAGGCCAGACGGCAGCCACTCCTCAGTAAAAGGCACATGACAGCCCGCTTGGAGTTTGCCAAAAGGCACCTAAAGGACTCTCAGACCATGAGAAACAAGATTCTCTGGTCTGATGAAGGAAACGTCTGGAGGAAACCTGGCACCATCCCTACGGTGAAGCATGGTGGTGGCAGCATCATGCTGTGGGGATGTTTTTCAGCGGCAGGGAGACTAGTCAGGGTCGAGGGAAAGATGAACGGAACAAAGTATAGAGAGATCCTTGATGAAAACCCGCTCCAGAGCGCTCAGGACCTCAGACAACGACCCAAAGCACACAGCCGATACAACGCAGGAGTGGCTTCGGGACATTTTTACATTTTATCATTTAGCAGACGCTCTTATCCAGAGCGACTTACAGTTAGTGCATACATTTTCATACTGAATGTCCTTGAGTGGCCCAGCCAGAGCCAGGACTTGAACCCTATCAAACATTTCTGGAGAGACCTGAAAATAGCTGTGCTGTGACGCTCCCCATCCATCCTGACAGAGCTTGAGAGGATCTGCAGAGAAGAATGGGAGAAATTCCCCAAATACATTTACATTTTAGTCATTTAGCAGACGCTCTTATCCAGAGCGACTTACAGTTAAGTGAGTGCATACATTATTATTATTTTTATTTATTTTTTCATACTGGCCCCCTGTGGGAATCGAACCCACAACCCTGGCGTTGCAAACGAGCTACATCCCTGCCGGCCATTCCCTCCCCTACCCTGGACGACGCTGGGCCACTTGTGCAAATACAGGTGTGCCAAGCTTGTAGCGTCATACCCAAGAAGACTCAAGGCTGTAATCGCTGCCAAAGGTGCTTCAACAAAGTACTGAGTAAAGAGTCTGAATACGTAGGTAAATGTAATATTTCAGTTTTTATTTTGTATACATTTTCTTAAAAAAATAAAAAAAATCTGTCATTATGGGGTATTATGTGTAGATTGATGAGAGAAAAAAACTATTTAATCCATTTTAGAATAAGGCTGTAACGTAACAAAATGTGGAAAAGGTCAAGGGGTCTGAATACTTTCCGAATGCACTGTATATATTCAAGGTGAGGCAAGTCTAGCTTGGGTGGTGATTGAAAAGTCAACATGGTCAATTTTTCTCTTGTTGATCTGTCAGGGTCAGTTAGATCTGTGTTTGTTTTGTGTGGTATATTCTGTGCTACTGTGCTGCAAATGCTTTTCAATGTCAGTGTGGGTTGACTGTAAGTCGCTTTGGATAAAAGCGTCTGCTAAATGGCATATTATTATTATTATTATTATTATTGGTATTTTATTATGATCCCCATTAGCTGTTGCGATAACAGCAGCTACTCTTATGGGGTCCACACAAAACATGAAACATTAAATAATACAGAACATTAATAGACAAGAACAGCTCAAGGACAGAACTACATCAATTTAAAACGTCACACACAACCTACATATCAGTACATACACACAATATCTACTGTAGGTCAAATAGGGGAGAGGCGTTCTGCAGTGAGGTCGGTGTTGCTTTATCTGTTTTATGAAACCAGGTTTGCTGTTCACTTGAGCAATCTTTGATGGAAGGGAGTTCCACGCAATCCTGGCTCAACATAATACTGCATGTTTTCTTGAATTTTGGGACTGTGAAAAGACCCCTGGTGGCATGTCTGGTGGGGTAAGTGTGTGTGTCAGTGCTGTATGTAAGTATGCAAACAATTTTGAATTTAACACAATGTTTCTTATAAAAACATGTGATGCAGTCAGTCGCTCCTCTACATTTAGCCAAGAGAGACTGGCATGCATAGTATTGATATTAGCCCTCTGAATTGATATTAGCCCTCTGAACGTTAGATATTTTTAAAATATTTTGGAATAAGTGTCGAATCACACGTTTGTCATTATGTGTAGACAGATAATCTGTCTGCCGAGTTCCAAAGAAAAACGGATCTCTTTGAAAATCAATTAAACACAAAACAAAAGGCTTTGGATCCAATGGCTGGTCCCGACCCAGACTCCCCACTCACTGACCTGAACCCAAACATGATCTCGTCGTGGCGGAGGTGGGCGTCATCGTCGATGGACAAGATGGCCTCCGTCTCCACGACATCCCAGGGCAGGAACCGGTTGTTGAGGCTGTTCTTCTCCAGTGCGCACCACCTGCAGGACAGGATAAATGTTAAAGGGATAGTGCAACATCTTGGCAATGCCCTTCTGTCTACTTCCCCAGAGTCAGATGAAGTCATTGATACCATTTCTATGTCTCTGCGTGCAGTTTGAAGGAAGTTTAAGGTATTTTCTGGAGCCATTGCTAACTAGTGTTAGTGCAAAGACTGGAAGTCCACAGGAATCTTCACTGAAAAACTTTTAGTATTTTGTTCATTAGTTCACTGGTAATACAATCCCAATAAATGTGTGCATGTCAGCAATCAAGTTTTCAAAATAGAGAACTTTCAGTACAGAGCAAAAACGGTGTGTTGTGCATCATTTGAGTGAACTATGTGGAATTTCATTAAAGTAGGCCTACAGCACAGGGTAGACCATGGGCCAAACGACACAGCCCCTCTTTCTCAACAACATTCTTAGACTAACCCCTCTTTAAAAACATGAAAGTATGGAATGATCTATTAGCAATCAATAGTTAAGAGGATTTTAAAATGTGTCAACCAATTAGGCTATTCATTCAAGAAGATCATTAAACTACCCTCCCGTCATATCCCCCTGCAGAGAGGGAATCTGTAATTTGGGGTTCTTGAATATTCTGTTTCACTTCTCATCTACTATAAAATATAAAAGCCAGACCTTTTCTGTGGACTTCACATTTTCTATTTCCGTTCATTTCAGCAGGTGTAATTTGACTGGCTGGCCTGCAGAGTTGTAAGGAAAGCTTCAAAGCGAAGCAGGGAGAGCAGATGAAATGAGCTCCAGGAGCTAGCCTGATGTACTAAAGTGCGCTCTAAGACAACACAGCCTCAGACTGCTGCACCACATCACAGGTTGAGGTTACACTGTTTGCATTTCAGAGTGGGCGGGGCCTTTCAGATATTCTCTCTCATTCAATAATATTGTTCATTCTGAGTACTATGCAGGAGGGGCATGTTTGGTATTCAGGGGCTGTGAAAGGTACTCACCACAATGGGCAGTTTGGTATTCAGCGACGGGGGAAGGTACTCACCACGATGGGCAGGCCGATGTCTGGCCACAGCAGGTCGTCTGAAGGAGGCTTGGGGGAGTTCCACACCACCACCACCTTGTTGAGGTAGGGCAGCCCGTTGAGCCTCTCCAGGGAGTTCATCAGCACCTCCTCCCTCTCGTAGGTCAGCATGACCACGGTGAACTGCTCCCGGGGCACGTTCCCTCCCAGCGCTGCTTGAAACTCCTTCCCCGAGCCCCCCGTGCCACCGCTGATGGGGCGGAAGCCCGTACCCGAGCCCAGGAACTTGGCCTCAGAGGGCAGCACGGGGTCCAGCGGCGTGTGAGGGAAAAGGTGGAAAGGCCCCGGAGCTCGGTTCCAGGTCTGGTAGGTGTCGGACGCTGTGTAGGTGAAGTTGCGAAGGAAGCGTGGCGAGGCGTAGGGTGGCTCCGTCTCCACTGGACCCAGGTCCAGGTCGCCGTTGTCGGCCAGGTTGGCGTCCGTGCCCGCCATCTTGCCCACCTTGTGGGGGATCTCCTGGGCGGGCTCCTCGCGGATGGGCGTGGGGGGTACCTGGATGCGGGTCCGGACGCTAGCCAGGATAGTTCCCAGGACGTTCTCTGAGGTAGAGAAGTAGGTTTCCCACAGGAAGCGGCCCTGCCGCCGCATGGCCAGCAGGTCATTGTCTGATAGGCTGCGTAGCAGGAAGTGCAGCTCGGTGATACGGGGCTTAGGCACCATAATGGCCGCCTCGCTCCATTGGATCAGCTGATGGTAGGGCAGCCTGGCGTGGTCCCCCAGTACCACAGGGATGGCCCCCACCTCCAGGGCCTCAAACAGCCTCATGCCGTTGCCCGCTGAGGCCATTAGCTGACCGTCCCCGGGAGAGATGACCAGGGCAAAGGTGGAGGCCTTGAGGACCTCCAGCCGCTCCTCCCTCTCCCCACACATGGCCCACTCTGTGGGCAGGCTGGGCCGCGGGCTCTTACAGGTGAACTCCACCAGCACCTGGTCCAGGTTGCTGTCCTGCACTGCCTTAAGCGTGCCGATGATGCGATCATCGTAGTCGGCTGGCGGGTCTCCCTCCATCTCCTCCTCAAAGGACTGGGGTGGCTCCTTCTGCAGGCTGCTCCTCAGAGACTCCACCCTCTCGCCCTGGAAGGTGAACAGATACTTCCTCTTGACAGGCACCTGTGGTGGCACCTCTAGGAAATTGGGCTCAGAGAGGGCGTGTACCAGCGGGGACACCACCAGGTCGAAGCCCTCGCGGTACTGCTGCTCAAGAAAGGTGGACTGGGCCACCGCCGCCCGGCCCGTGCTCACATTGTACAGGAAGTTCTGCGTCATGGACTTCCTGGAAAGGTGGACCAGGAGGTGGTTGTGTCCGTCAGACCTCCAGTAGGGCAGAGCCTTCAGCTGCTTCTCCAGCGCTGAGGGGGCCGGGAGGGGGGAGGAGGGAGACTCCTGCAGCTCCCCCACCAGCACCACATACAGACAGGCGATCCTGGGGTTATCCGTCACGTAGATGCTGCTCTTCACTGAGGTGGCGAAGGCCTGCCTGACCAGCGGGTCCAGGGACTCACCCCAGGGGTATGAGGCCGTGTCATAGACGTACACGGGGAAGCCCGAGGTCAACGGGCAGCGGGCGTAGTCGAAGCAGGAGCGCAGGCGGCAGACGTGGGCAGACTTGGGTGGGGGTAGCCCCGGGTCGTCCTTGTCGGGTAATAACCTCACGGGAAGCGAGAGCTTGGGCTGGTTCTGGGCCATCAGCTCCTTGTACGAGTGCTCCGTCTGGCTGATGACGTTCTTCAACTGCAGCAGGTCCTGCTTGGCGCTGTCGATGCTCCGCTTGCACGCCTCGATGCGCAGGTTGAGCCGGACGATCTCCCCGTTCAGCTCCTGCCGCTTGGCCTCCAGCTGTAGCAGCTCCTCGCTGACCGACTCGCGGATGCGGCACAGGTCTTGCACGTGCTTGGCTTCGCACAGCTCACCGCCGGGCCGCGGCCCGAAGATGCGCTTGTCGGGGCCGCCCGCCTCGTCGATGGTGGTGAGGTAGTAGTGGGCGATGAGCGGGAAGAAGACCAGGATGAAGAAGAGCATGAAGCTGAGCCAGGTGAGGCGTACGCGCCGCAGCACCCACGGCTGGCCACCAGCCCCCACCCCGCCACCGTTACGCTGCATCATGGGTTAGGGTCACTGGGCTCAGAGCCGCACTGGATAGTCTACTAGTCTACAGGTGCAACCTCGTCAACATGGTGAAAGTGTGGCCGCTAAACCATCAGTTGTTCATTGACTTGTTTTGACCTTATAAAATGTGGATCTACTTGATCTTGGTTTTCATTTATGGTATCAGATGTAGGGGGACCTCACCTTTATCCTGCAGGTGTGCCATAGTTCAGACAAGTCCATGCCATTGTTCCTTTTGTATGATGTAGTTGTATTCCTGACCTATGTAAGCACAGTGTCGGGGGAGGGGAGCCCCTTCTGGGAAACGCTGTGGACGAGAGCATGGCTGGTCAAAGTCCTGCAGAGTAGCATCATGGGTCGGCTGGTCAAAGTCCTGCAGAGTGGCATCATGGGTCGGCTGGTCAAAGTGCTGCAGAGTGGCATCATGGGTCGGCTGGTCAAAGTGCTGCAGAGTGGCATCTTCGGTCGGCCGCTCCTGCCCTGGTTGTGCCCATTATCTGGGTCCGAGTGGGTCTGCCGAAGAGCGAAAGGCCTCCAAATGTCAAAACCTAAAACAGATACAGAGAAACTATGTCAAAATGAGAATATGTAAGGTCCCTAAAGGCCCGCACATACTGTACGATTTCTCAGACAATTTCTAAGTTGTTGGCAAATTCTTCGGATGTAAACTATTGTCGGACGTATTCACTCGTTCAGTGTGACGGGGTCTAGCTCTGCTGATTAAGTACCACTATGTGCTTAACCCTAATTTCTCCTGTAAGTCGCTCTGGATAAGAGCGTCTGCTAAATGACTAAAATGTAAAATGTAAAATGTAATGTGAGGTTGTAGGCTCCAACAGTGTCAGTAATGTTGAACCTTTATCTGTAATGTGGCTAGTGTTATGAGCCGATCCCGGTGACTGACCAATAGGAACACGACCGGCACTGAGTGAGTATGCACACAATATGATTATTGTGAATGGTGCGATTAATATAATAGTTTGATTTAAACGCTTTACAAGAAGAACGATTTCCTTAATAAATCTTGATTACATGGACAAATCGTCAATCCAAATAAACATTCTACCACAGTGACCACATTAATTCTGGTAAGCCTATTTGATTATGAGTTCAGACATATAAAGTTTGTATGTGAAAACAATTTCTAAGATGCATACTTTCAGTTTTTCCAAACTCACTTCATTCTTGCATAAGCATAGAGGGAGGCTTACGCTGCTGGTACATGCGCAGATCAAACACACCTCTGCAGTTGACGTAGCCTACCAATCGCAGAATGTGACGACAGAACGGAAGCAAATCGTACAATCTGGCCAGGTTGATAACAAGATTTTAATTTGGTAACATCGCACAGTGTGACGTAATAATCGTAAAAAACGGAATCCGACGTACAGTGTGGGAAGGCCTTTAGCTGGCATTCTTAGAATATCAGATGAATAAACTCACGGAAAATCTAGACTTCATGTCATAGTCCAAATAGGCATCAAACCAGAATATTACACTCACTGATGATATCACTAGGATAAATAACATTCTGAACAATTCAAGCGTGTGCTTTTGTGTGTGTGTTAATTTAAAAAGTGCCCTGCTTACTGCATAATTTTAACACGAATACAAACATGACTCATCATGACAACACATAGACTCGTTTTTTCATTTCTCTCCACAGGCCTGATACAGAGATCAGTAACTTATCTGAAAAGCAGCACTGGGTGTATTGTATCAAAACTGCTGACACAAGGTAAGGTTTTAGCAAGATAAGGTTCTACATCGTTATTAGGAACAAGGGCTTTCTCCTCCTCACTGGCTTTCACATCACAGGCTACATCACTTACCAGACAGGTCTTCCTCCTGAACAGCTCTAAAGAGAGGCTGCAGAATCACAATAACGGACTATGTTTCTCTGTGTTGGGGAAACAGCAACAAAGGTTTGGCTTTGCTATCAGCAGATAGATCATAGTGCTGATAAGAGAGACAGACTGATTCAGCGTAAAGGGCAGTCGTGGATGGGAGGAGACCTAAAATAACATTTTGGGTATTAGTCCTCAGACAACAGCCCTAATGCATCATTGAGGAATGACGATAGCCTACTCTCTGGCAGACCAAAAGAAAAAAAAATGCATGGAACACAAACTAATCAATGCTGGTTCCAGTCTCTGAGAAGGCCACAGCACACAATCTACTGGACAGAACTAGACTATTTTTCTGAATGTCATAGTGTAGTATCTTCACTGCTACACCTGCAGATGTTGGTGGCTAGGCCTTCAGCCAAACAAGCATTTTCAAATAGGCCTAAACACTAAACTCACAACACTGTGTGCCCCGATAGGGTTAACATTACAGAATGGAAATCAGATTGAGAGTTCACACTGACATATAATATCACAAAAGACGAAGTGTGATCTAGCACGTGTTCACCTTGGCAACAGAAAAGGTTCAGTTGTTGATGAGCCAGAAACTCCCAGTCCTGACAAATAGGTTGCACCAGTCATTGGGCTAGTCTGCAGAAGTGTCTCTTTCACTACCAAGTTCTAGCAGGACACAAACAGATCTTGATGCCAAATAAAAGCCATCTTTCCCTGGGTTCGGTGCCAGGAAAAACAGGAACTCCTCCCCGCTGACTCCATCTGACTGGGTTTCTGACACAAACACACACAGTACGTACAGATAACTGAAAGCCTTGTGGCGATTTGGAGGATGAGTGGGCATATGCATTCTTCTCCCCTAATGGAGCATCATACAATATGGCCTTGTGCACCTGCTCTCCTGCTGGGAGGTTGGGCGATGGAGACAAAGCGTACTGTGCACTTTGTGTAACATAGCCCATCACACACACACACACACACACACACACACCGGTAATACTCACTGCATCAGACCACACAGGTCTGCTCCTATTTTCCACACTGTAGTAGCCATCAGGGGCTAGCCTTGTCAACACAGTACGTGTCATTACAGCAAGTCAGCAGCACAGCTCCCAGCAGGTCAGCTGACTGACACGCTCCAAGGAGCCCGTGTCACATGATTTAATCTCTGCCTCCGGACCCTTGACCCCCCCCCTCCCCCAGATGCCTGGCGTTGGGCCTGAGGTACCACTGGGAGACTAAAGCGGTCTACAGACAATACGCAAACATGGCTGACGGAGCGTAGTGCAGTGTTGCAATGTCTTGTTTCATCATAAAAGGGGCGGCCTTTTGTAATACCCTCAGTCATTCAACAGTTTTTTTCTACCTGGAAATTGAGACCTGACGTATCATTCCCTCCGAAGACTAAGGGGCAGTATTGAGTGAGTTTTGCAACGTAAGTCCTGCCCGTGTCTACATCACATCTTTTCCGGTATCCCTTCAGGTATAAACACAGACGAGATGGATGTTCTGCTACTTCGTATCTACTACTTTCAAGCTTCCTTTCTTGTGCTTTTTATTTTGGAGATTTGCTAAGCTCAATTATCTCTATGTCCAGTTTTGAGGAGCATCTGTGCGAGCTGGTGAGATAATACAAGAACCTTAACAACCCTTCAATGCGGTTGTATTCAGACAAGCAAACAAAAGACAACAGCTGGAGGGAGATATCACGAAATTTGAACACCGATACTGATAAAGAAACATGGGAAAAGATTTGGGACTGGTATGTTCGCAATCTGATAGGGTGAAGGAGACGAGGAGGGGAGCTGGTGTGTGTCCCACCGATTGTCAGACAACTGGATTGGCTTCGTGTTCACGTGAAACATCGTCAGACAGACACCAATATGCCAGATACGGTATGTATTTGTCATGCAGCCGAGTCCTTTTGTACAGTGTGTGTGCTTGTGATCTTAGGTTTGGTAGACCTAGTTAGAACATGTGAAATCAGCTCTATTCTGAAATGGGAGAAATTGTGAGTGGGAAATATTCAGTGCCTGTGTTGTTAGTATAACGATGAGCAGGGCTAGTACAAACATCTGAAAACAGACAGTGTTTTGTGTCTGTCTTAATTAGATTGAGATGTTCATGAAATCAGTTATTTTGGGTAAACATTTTTAACTCAAAAAGGAGCCCATGGAGATGTTTTAAGATTGCTTACAGTGTATTCTAATGTATTCACCATCTGCTTGTAGGTGTTGGAGGGGGGTGGTGTTTTGGACAGTCCAGAGACAGAGCTGAGCCCTAAGAGCCCATCTACAGGTGGTTCATTGCCCCTTGATTCATCATCTCCCTGGCCTGGTTCATCGCCTCCCTGGCACCTCTCCCAAATTCCCAGGCCCTTCTCACCAACACCCAACCCACCGTCCAGGCGCACCCTTGCTCTCTGCCCTGCAACTCCATCAACCTCCACCCCATCTCCCCGACTGAGCTCCAATGGCCGGAAGAGGAAGACAGCTGAGGCTCCGTCTACGACGTCATGGTACCATGGAAGATGTCTATTCCTGCTGATCAACGTCTTCCATTTGTCTCGCCCCAAAAACGGTGTGCTTTTTTTTCTTATTCATACATTAGGGTGGTGGGTAATTTACTGCAGGTTTTTGTATACTTATTTCCTCATTCACATTACTAGTGTTAACTTTTTTTTGGTCTTATTTCCCCTTTCATCACACTTTTCACCTGTGGATTACATTGTTTTACATTGCACTATTTACCTCTTGTGATCGTAAATGAATATCTAAAAAGGTCTGCAAATGTCTTTGTCTGGTTATTTGTCCTTGTGGCAGAAAATATTACTGTTTTGAATCAGTCACTTAGTAAATTCTACTGCTTTGTACATGCGCTATGTAGATGAGATTAATGTCTTGGGGGTCTGTCCTTATCTACAGCTGGACTCTCACCCATGTACCAAAGCTGGAAGGTCTCCATTGAAAGGCCACTACACATGACCATGTACCAAAACAGGAAGGTCTCCATTGAAAGGCCACTACACATGACCATGTACCAAAGCAGGAAGGTCTCCATTGAAAGGCCACTACACATGACCATGTACCAAAGCAGGAAGGTCTCCATTGAAAGGCCACTACACATGACCATGTACCAAAGCAGGAAGGTCTCCATTGAAAGGCCACTACACATGACCAGGTACCAAAGCAGGAAGGTCTCCATTGAAAGGCCACTACACATGACCAGGTACCAAAGCAGGAAGGTCTCCATTGAAAGGCCACTACACATGACCAGGTACCAAAGCAGGAAGGTCTCCATTGAAAGGCCACTACACATGACCATGTACCAAAGCAGGAAGGTCTCCATTGAAAGGCCACTACACATGACCATGTACCAAAGCAGGAAGGTCTCCATTGAAAGGCCACTACACATGACCAGGTACCAAAGCAGGAAGGTCTCCATTGAAAGGCCACTACACATGACCAGGTACCAAAGCAGGAAGGTCTCCATTGAAAGGCCACTACACATGACCAGGTACCAAAGCAGGAAGGTCTCCATTGAAAGGCC